TGTAGTTCTCTCAGTAGATTTCTCGATGCTTATGGTTGAAATTTCAGAACATACTGAGAAAAAAAAACATGTATCTGTGATAGAAATATGAGACCAAACAGTTGTAATGAATGTGATGTTTATTTTGCCCACGAAAGTATATTGTGTTTTTTTCACCACTCGTTAACGGTGACTGTTTTTCATTGAAATCAATTGTGACACTTCAAAAATGTTTTTATCAATTTTTTTCTTATGAATATAAACTGTGATCACATTTTTATCAATAATGCAAAAAATTAGCGTACTTAGTAAAAATATAACGGTGATATTTCATTTTTTTCCTCGGTCAAATGACTTTGGGGACAACCTGTATTGACCTTACTTTTGCTATATATGAGTCTTCAAGAAAGAAAATATTAAGTAGATACTATATTAAATCATAGTGCAGTAGATGACAGCTTGAAACTACCAATAGTAATAGACAAACTTTTCGAACTTTTCAAAACTCGATTAAGCATATTGTTGTAAGATGCAAATCAATTAGATCTATACGAATATTGAATTTGTCTTGATGATATTTCAAATCGAAAAAAACAACAGGCGAAAAAGTATTTCATTAGATTATATTTATTTTTCTATGACATAAATAATATAGACAAGAATAGTCAAAAAATGATCGTTATATAATTTTTACATATATAAAAATATTTGTTACAATAATAATTCTTGAAAAAAAGAAATTGAGATTGAACGCTAAAAATTTTATTACTGGAAAAACTAATTAATAGAATCTTTCTCTTTATATTGCTTGTATTTTGCTCAAATTAGAAAATATCTCATTGTACTTATAAATCATAACCAAACTTTTACTCAATATAAAAACGAAACAAGTTGATTTCTGATAGTTATTGCTAGTTAACAATCAATAGTCAACAAGCAACATCATGTAACATTATTTTAATTTAATTTAAAAAAGAACAAGTTATTGTATCGATAAAATAAACTGATAATTTAACATTTTTTTTTTCAAAGCTAGATTATGCTATGATTGCAAAACAAACAATGTGAACTATAATATCCAACTCTTGATTATATAACAATCAAAACAATCGTAACCTTGATGATGATCGCAGTCTCAAGTGACAATGTCAATGTCATTGGACTCATCAGAAAAACTCTATAACTATTACGTTATGTATAAATTCATATGGTTAATGCAAATATATCTTGATGAAAGTGTAAAAGTTTCAAAAAAGATTAGTATCAATGGATCTTCCTTCTAAAGTCAAAACTATTTCACTGAGATTTCAATTTAGAACCAAGGGTTGGCACAGTTGTGACTGAGGAAGCTGTCATCTGACCTTTTTTTCTCATAAATTGATCATATAGTTCTTACAACATTATAAAAATTTCCACTCAAACACATATCATCTGTTCAAGATCTTGAATTTTACACAAAACTAATTTTTTCGTACCCTTGTTTCTTTTATGTAAAACTATCAAATTGTTTTTAAGCATTCAATAACTCAAAAAAAAAAGAACCGGTCATGGCTGAAACCATAAGTCTTATTTAAAATCTTACTATGAACTTGATTCGAAGTAAAATAGTTATAATTTCCAGAGAAAGATCTATAGAAAATTATCCTTCTAGATATTTCTCGGTTCATCAAGGTTCATTTTTCACTAATAATACGAAGTCATAGGTTGCTAAATATTTCAAACATTTCTTTCATTAGTTTTTATCAGTAATATAATCAAATGAATTTTTTTTTGACAGACTGTGAATCCTTCATAAGACAAGAAAGCCTAGTTTTGTCCTTGACCGATTACAAGGACACTAAAATATCTTGAACTTTAGCCGTGTTGTATTATTATCTGAATGGATCGGATTTTTCATCTCTTCTTAAATGTCACATACAGTTCTATGAACTAAGGTAATACATAATTAATTCTAAAAAAAAACTATTCACATTAAATGTAGTTTGACATAATCTAACTTGTCTTTTCCTATTAGCACGTTTGTCTCAATGAATAATGAACTAATCTGCACCTAATGATTATACGTATTATATAATACATCTGATTTAAATAAACTTCTTCCATTTTTCATTTCAGACATAAGAATCTAGGAAAAATTATTCTTTCTTATATATATATTGTATTTCAATATTTCAATAATGAATAAATATTTTAATAAACATTGTACCAATAGGAACATACGCTATATTTTTAAAGATCATAAAAAAATTCTTTTTTTTTTTGTATTTATATTCTAGTATTTCCTCTGTGTTATTGATACAATCGTTGAAAATTAGTTATCATGTACCGAATCTCATTTCCTTTTAATTGTTTTAATTGTTCATCATTCCCTACAGAGAGGTATAGTTTGTCTTCTTCTTCTTCATTGTCTAATGTCTGTCTGTTTCAAACAGCGAGACAGACACTGAAGCTCAATTTTGATGTCTAATTTTTTTTTCTTAATATTTCATACAATGAGCGTTTCCATTTCCCTTCCTTCGCCGCCGGCGACTACTCGGTGTCTCTATTCCCTTCAAAAACGGTGACCGGAAATGCACACACGCGTGCGCCTTCATATACGATAGTGGTCATATAAGCAATTAGTCGAGCGAACTAATCTTCTCGTGGATAGTAGAAAAAAGTAAAAAAAATAGAAAAAAAAATAGAAAGTTCAATGTCTATACTGTTGGAGAACGCATTCATCTTCAACAGACAGAATTACAGTAAAAAGCTTTGTCACCTATTCCACTCTCACTTACATCCACACATGCTTTAATGAGGCATTGTCGTGTATGTGAAACATTCTCATTGATGTGACTGGCACCGACAAAGACTCAGTGTGGAACAAATTGTTTCTTCACCTTGTCATATATATAATACATAAACATATAAAGATAAAATATGTCGGACAGACAATGTATAAGCAAATGATGATTACATAAGATCCAGTCAGGCAAATGATCCAATATCATTGTCGTTCATTTACACTGGTCTGTCGAGTGCTGAACTGTCATAGAGAAAGAAGAAATCCGTTTATATATAAATATATATATATATATGATACATAAGTAAGCAAGTGTAAAGTATATTCATATAATGAATATATATATATGTATAAAGATGACAAGTGAGAGTATAAAATAATCCTCTTGAAAAGGTTGGCGAATTCTTTATTGTGCACAAAACAAGTGATCCATAGTCTTTCGATCTCTCAACAAACACTTGTACATACATAAAAGGAGAGAAAAAAAACTTTCTTTGACTGTCCTTCATTGTTGGTATGTGTTCAAAACATCTGTTGCACCACCCGAGAGCAAGATATGTCGTAATTAAAACTAGGCAAACTATACATCTATAATATGAGATAAACGATGGTAATATTGACGAAGGCAAGCGAATCTGTGAAAACACATCATTAACGTCATGTATCCGGCCGACATTGCTCGTTATGCTGTCGAGAAAAGAATGAACTATTGCAATCTATGTATGTATGTGTAGGAAAGAAAACGATAGACACAATTGGACAAACGGCCACAATAATGATTATGCCGCTATCATCATTGTTACTGCTGTGTATGTTTTCACAAGCATTATTCAATTCTTCACTGACGAACAAAAGATATGATCACGATTTCCCTCCCATCTATATTCATTCTATAATTGTTTGCATCATCGTATAAATACGTTTATAATATTGTCTTCAAAATACAAATACAAATAAAAACATAAATATATTTCATCAGATGGAAATTCAGGGCATTCACCTGCACTAAAGAAACAAAAATGGAAATACGCATACGAAAGTATATTTGAGATTCATGATTCTTGCATCACATACAAATACGAGCAAACTAGCAATTATCATTGTTGAAGATTTTTTTTTCTTCTTCTTTTTTTTCTCTGTCTGTCTCTTATTTTACGTAATCATCTTGAGAGCAGCCGTCATAGAGAGGCTGATACTTTTTGGTGTATGTCTCTTTTTCAAGTACCAATTGGTGCGGTTTGATGCATTGGGTAATTCCATGAATGATGATGATAATCGCTCATCTCAAGCATAAAATCCATCTGCTGGATGCTTACTCTTCAAATTCTTCTCCAACTGATGATCATAAGTTAGTCATATATGTAGAAGAAGAAAAAAAAAGGGAAAGTAAAACAATACATAGATTAAAAGTCAACATCAAACACTCAAGTAGTCATAAAGACTGTCATTTTTAAGCTTCTAAAGGTGTGATTTTGTGCATATTCATTGAACTGATCATAGCATGTCAATCATTGTCTTTGTCTTTTCATTCGATGTCTATAAATGTATGAACACACACACCCAGTCCGTCTAACAAAATTGGCCATGGCCTTGGCAGAATGTTTAATGGCGGCTCATGTAAATGCTCTCTCTTGTTTTTTTTTGTTCATATTCGGTCACCGCTCAAATGTGAAGAAAACGAGCGAGAATAAAAAAAAAAAAGAAGAAGAGACAGAAAAAAATTCACCAAACAAGGAGGAGACGAAGACGAAGAAGGTAACATGAGACTAATATGAGTAACTAGCAAGAAAAAAAGAGAGAGGTAATCAGTCGTCCATTGGGCCTGGTGAGCGGAAAAGGCTCATTTTTTCAAGACACCGGTCAGTCAGTTATAATGTATGCGTGTCCCTGCTCTCTTCCTTTCCTTTCCCGGAAAAAAAAAGATCGAACGACAGTAAGATTTTTTTTTCTCATTTTCTTCTTTTCCTTCACGATGGTACCATTATAAGTCTAAGTGTTAATTTTCTTCTCCTGCTCTCTCTCTCATTTTCTCTTTCTCACTGCTCTCTCTCTCTCTCTCTTGTGTCTATATGTATGTGTGTTCAATATGTCGTATATTAATGAGGAAATCCTTTCTCTTCTTCCATCACAGATTGTTCCTGTTCACATACAAGCATACATACAGTGGTACAGTTTATGATGATGACAATATTTGCTCGTTTAAATTAGCCAACCAAGACAATTAAAAGAACAAAAGAAAATGTTTCAATTTTTAGTTTTTATCAATATTTTATTATTGGTTTCATCGATACCAAAAGAATCTATACATATCATTGAAGATCTTCCGATTGGTACATCAATATATACATTTATAACTGATGGTTGTAAAACAGAAAATAGTACTGGTACATATCGTTTTGTTGATAGTCAAAAAAATTCCAATGATTTTTTTCTTATTGATCCATATACGGGACGTGTTATAACAAAAAAATTAATTGATCGTGATGATTTTTGTCTTCGTCGTATGTGTTCATGTTCCAAATGTGAAATAATACTTGAAGTTATATGTGTACATATTGGACAAATATATTTCAATGATTTATCAATTATAATTGATGATCGTAATGATCATGCACCGGAATTTCCTAAATCTTCAATAACAATTGATGTTTTAGAAAATGTACCCATAGGTTATTTAATACCACTTGATGTTGCTATTGATCGTGATTATGGAATAAATTCAATACAAGGCTATAAACTTATTGAAGAAAATTCAACAATAACAAAAAATTCTATTAATAAAATTTCACAAGCATTTCAAATTGAATATTCAAAAAAAAATGATTTACTTGCATTACGTCTTATGAAAATACTTGATAGAGAATTATGTGATTCATTAAAATATATTATACAAACATATGACGGTGGACAACCACAATCACTTATAAGTAAATTACATGTACGAATAAATATTCTTGATGTTAATGATATGTCACCAGTATTTGATCGTTCTGATATACGTGTACTTTTAAGTGAATCAACATCAATTGGTTCACTTGTTGCACGTGTACATGCATTTGATGGTGATACTGGTCTTAATGGTCTTGTTTATTATACAATTGTTTCATTAGATCCACCATTAAATGGAACATTTATATTATCAAAAGAAACTGGTGAAATACGTCTTGGAAAAAAACTTGATTATGAAAAAGAAAAAGTTTTTCGTATCAAAATCAAAGCACAAGATAATGGACCACAACAAGGTTCAATATCAGCATTTGCTACAATTGATATTGATATAAAAGATGAAAATGATAATCATCCATTAATAACACCAACATTTAATGATGATCCTATATCAGGTGTTGAACATTTATTAAATACTAGTATTATACGTATTCGTGAAAATACTCCAAATGGAACTTTTTTAGTAAGTAGTTTTATCGTTTTACTCAAATATATGAATCTTTATATGTCTTATTCAATTTCCTATGATGTGCGTGACAAAATAGAGTTTTGCTTGTCTTTTTTTCTTTCACCTTCGACCTTGATTCGAAGTTAATCTGTCACTCTGTAATAGAATTCCCAAAAGGTATATATGCATGTTCGCATGTTTTATATTCAGCCTTAGACTAGTTTGTCTTTTTTTTATGCTATTAAAAAAGATAATCTTGGAAAAAAAAAGTTAATTATATTTATCTATTTTTTCAATAGGGTCACATCTCAATCAATGATTTAGATCAGGGTGATAATGGCCGAGTAAGTTGGTCACTTGTGAGTAATGGCACTATAGCTATTAAAGAATTACTTAATAATGAAGCTTTTCTTATGTTTACACAACGAATATTTGATCGTGAAGAACAATCACGTTATGAGATTTATCTTGAAGCTCAAGATCATGGTATTTCATCACTTTCAAATGCATTAAATTTTACTTTAATTATTCTTGATGAAAATGATAATGCACCTAAATTCGATCAAGAATTTTATTCAATAAATATATCAGAAACAGTTCCCATAAATACAAAACTTTTACATTTTCATGCTACAGATAATGATGAAGAAAATACAGTAAATAGTCAAATTGAATATCAATTTTTAAATCATACAAATCAAACAATATTTTCATTAAATTCTACAACAGGTGAATTATATTTAATTGATAAATTTGATCGTGAAGAAAATTCATATTATGAATTTGATATTATTGCATTTGATCATGGTCAACCAAAATCATTATCATCAATAGTTCATTGTATTATTTATTTAATAGATATAAATGATAATTATCCAATATTTGATTTACTTGAATATCATTTTAATATAGCTGAAACATGGTCTCATCTTGCACCAATTGGTCATGTTCATGCTACTGATGTCGATGAAGATTATAGTGAATTACATTATCAATTAGTTAGTAATGAGTCAATTGTATTAGATCAATGGCCATTTGGTTTGACAATAAATGGTACATTATATCTTAAAAGAACATCTGTTGGTAAGTTGACTTTTCTTAATTTCATATTAAATAAATAATATATATATATTTATAGGTATCGATTATGAACATCGTTCAGTATATAAATTTTTTATAATGGCTATTGATAATGGTGGTCTTAATACAAGTGTACCTGTAACAATAAATATACTTAATCGTAATGATTTTTGTCCGGAATTGATTAATAATTCAACAGCATTATTTTTTAATAAAGATCTTTGGTTAAATAATACACATGAAAATTTTAATCAATATTATTTAGATATATATGATGGTGATAATGATACATGTTTAATTGAATTAATGAATTTTAATGATATATTTCGATTAGAACAAATTGATTATAATAAATTTTTATTATATGCATATATATTACCTGAACGTGAATTTTATATATTAGAATTTCGTTTATATGATTTAGTTAATAATAATGATCAATCGTGTATTCGAACAATTCAATTAGTATTAGCTATTGGTACAAATGAAACAAATCAAACATTAATATTAGATACAGCACGTGAATATTTAGAAGCTCTTCATTTAACATCAAAACGTTCACATTCATATTTTGATTTAACATTACTTAATGTTATACTTCTGTTTGTTTTACTTTCAATAGCAATTATTATTGCATTAGTTGCTGTCAAATTACTTTTTCTTTCATCATCATCATCACCATCATCGTCATCAACATCATCATCATCTTTACGTCATCAACGAATACGTCAACAACGGAAATTACGATATAATAGAAATGGAAATACTATGGGTGGAACACTTTATCGTCTTCAAGGTCCAACTGAAACTCAATTACCATTATTAGAAAATGGACCAGGTGAACATTCATTAACATCATCATTGATTGATGGAAATATTAAAATAGCTCAAGATGAAAATATTAATCATTCGATTGATAATGATGCACATGTCGATGAACAAAAGCAGGTAAAAAAAAAAAAAAGGATAAAGTAAAACTTGTCAATTTAATAAGAACAGATGGTGTCAGAAAAAAAAAGAAGAAAAAACGAACGTACGAATTGACGTTAATTCCGTCTCCATATGTTACCCCTTGCTGTGACATTCTTTATTCATTGTTCAATGGCTCAGTGACTCGTGCCAAATATCACCATTGCTTTTGACAATATAGAGAAACAACAACGACAACATTGTTCGTTGTCGTTTGGCACATTTTATAATTAAAAATTCATTCAAAATAATGTCTCCGTTGACGGATAAGAAAAGCAAAAGAAGACGATAACGAAGCGAAAATGATGAGAATAGGACAAAGACTAAGAGAGAATTGCACACTTGTCTGTCAAGTGTGAACGACCATTAGAGTGGAAAGAATGTACTAAATAAATTTGATTATCTATTTAATGTCACCAAGCGACAACCATCTCGCTTTTGGCAACTTGAACAATCAAATTTACATGTAATCGCAACAAATATATTGAATGCACGTTCAATATTCAATGGAAACAAATGATTTTATTGGTACTATGTTGCCCTTGAGATATATTTATATGTGTCATGAATTGACTAAGCCCTTGTCGATACTATAGGATGTATATATATATATATATATATATTTATGAGAACGTGCATGATGACGCAAAGTACAAGAAATCTTGAGTAGTATTCAATTTCATTTAATCCTTTATAATTAACAAATATAACATGACAGATCATGGTTACATTGAAAGTGTAATTAATAACAAACAAAATGACAGTTGAACAGATTGATCTTGATAGAAATTTATAAAAAAAAAATGAATATATCTATAATTTTGTTTTCTTTTCTATTCTAGCATCTTTTAAGTCAATTTAATCAAGTTTCATCATCAAAAATAAAAAATATAAATGAATTTAAAACATTTTCATTAAAATCAAATAATAATCCATATGAAATAATTGGATTTATTCATTCTAGTGAACGTAAATTTTTTTATTTTTATAATTACAAAATAAAAATTTATGATTATTAATTATGTTTTTTTCTTTCAGAGCATTCCTCTTCATCATCATCTTCAAATCGTGGTGTTCGAGACAGTGGTTATGAAACAACATCATCAAGTATTGAACAACAACAACGTTTGTTTTCACCACCAAGTCCATCTAATGTTAGTCTATCTCCTGATGGTCAATTAATAACTGTAACTTATTTTTCTTCTCCAATACCATCTCATCCTGATTCATTATCATCATCATTATCATCTTCGAATACTATTCCACGAACTTTAAAAACATTTTCTCAAATGCCTGTAACAAATGCTTCAGGCAATGAATCATCAACAATGATGAATATTCGTCTTGCTGAACAGGAAATAATCGAAGTCTGATAATTGTCATTTCTTTTTCCTTCTTGTTGTGTGTCCGTATTTCTCTTTTTTTTATTCTATCTTTAAATGAATGCGAGTGTATGTATATATTATCTATATAGATGTTCAATGATGAATATGACCTTCTCACACAATAACATACGCTCAATTAAACATCTCATCTTCGATTTAGATAGAGAATATCCTGAAGAAAAAAAAACAATATATTGTATTTGTTCATGATTACATAGATACATTTTTTATTATTAATATTAACCAAATAAGAAGTACTATATTATGAAATGAAATACACACACATAAGAAAAAAGAAAAAAAAAATATATAGTACATTAATTGATAGATTATTTATCGAGAGAAAAAAATTTCATATATGAAAATAGTAGAGAAATAATACACACGAAAAATATATGAAATAACCAATGAAATCGACAAGATCTATACGTCATATGTTTACTATTATTAGTATTAGTACTGTTATTTGTTTTTTGAAAACATACATGACTTGATGAATGCATAACAAGTTGGTTTGTTGTATTAGGTTTTATACGACGACGATTATAAATTATTGATATAGGTTGAGAATTGAAGATTTCATCCGTTAATACAATACCAGAATCATTACGTGACTTACGACCATTATCAGAAGATTTTAAACATGGTAATGAACGTGAACGTGTTACTAAAAGAAATAATAATATATTGGCAATATATTTAATATGTAAAAGAAAAAAATTAAAATAACTTACAACGATGATCATGAATTACAGGTTTGGATGATGATAAAACTATTGATGGCTAAATAACTTTGAATTATTAGAAAGTGACAAATATAATAATTTCAGTGGGGGAAAAAAGCATTCTTCTGTATTTCCGAAACCTGCAACAGCACAGAGATATCAAGAAGTATCAAGAAATGCCGTGTATCTCAAAAGTTTTGCACTATTTCTTTTGTTTTGCGTTACGTATTTAGACTACATAACATTAAATTTATTTTGACTGTATGCTTGTCTAGTAGAGGTCGAGTACTATATATACATATTACACGTGATTAATACGAAAAAGCTTTAATTCAGTACCAACAAAAAAACAAAAAGGACGAAATGATATTATTGTTATTGAGGAACCTATCGGATTAGATTGCCTATTTATAATTTAGGGTGTGTGACAGCGTGATGAAGGTCTTCTTTTCATCCACACGTATACTCCAGCTTCCAAATAGTGTTTTGTAGTACTATATTGTGGGCAGTATCTGAAAAAATTTGGCATTTGGTAACATATTCTTTGGTCGATACTACTGAAGACACAGAGACTCATCATCAGTGAAAATCTGTGGTAAATCATTGAAAAATCGCTGAACTCTACAAAATTGTAAATAAGAACATTTTTTTACTGACACTTTCAATTGAAACCAAGCATTTCTATGATTAGTAACTCATCGTGCTTTGAATGTATAGTTGTCTATCAGTAAATGGATTCTAGTTTCTCCAAAGTCTTATCAAAATAAGATTTACTATATAACATTCGGTGTACATCGACTTGCTTTAAAACGTGATATATATGGTTTCTCATTTCTGAATAGGTGATTTAATCCGACAAGGTCGTTTGTAACAATAATATCGTTTTATCATTCTTTTCTTATTGTGTTTCATTTTCAAGGCTTTATCGTATTAAATAGGTTTATATAGAGTATTTGACCTCTACTATACAGGCATATAGTCGAATTAAATTAATGTTGTATAGGCTAAATACATGACTTAAAACAAAAAAGCAGTGCAAGATTTTTAAGGTGCACTTTAAAAGGAATGTACAGAAACATGAAGAATTTTCCGTAAGATCATTATAGTTATTGTACAAAAGATAATTAAGAAAAAAATTACAAGAGTATATAGATATATGGATAAATATTATGATGAGATGTGAAAAAGTTAAGAGCAGTGTTTTATCCAATTTTTCTCAATTTAAACTTCGGAACGGTGAACATTTACTTTCGAGAAGGTAAACCCGATTTCTTGAGGAATGTCGTTTGTTCGACCTGCCATAGTAGATAAAACATTGGTTTAAAGAAGTACGAAGAAATAAAAGAAGTATGCTTTCTCTCCTCTTGAATAATTTGGTATGTTTATTTACTTTTTCTTGCGGTTGTTCGGCTTGATTTGTTGGTTGTGCTCGTCGACGAGTTCGTTTTTGTGTTGATGATTCTAAAAATTTTTTTATGAGAAAACTGTTTTTTATTCTTTGTTTCTATCGTATAGTTTCAAACTCTATTGTGATTAAGGAATTAGTTTTGCATATTATGTGGTTTATAGATAATTAATTTTCAGAAGTATCAATCTAGCTTTAAAAACATCAAAAGATTAATCTCATTTTTAATCTATAGGTGTTAATCAATTGTTTTATTATTTAATATGAGTAATAAAATTGTATTAAATCATAGAAAAGAATCTCTGGTTATTCTAACTTTAATAACTAGGTTTATTCTAATCTTTACTTCATTATATCCATTCGAAATGAATATAAATAAAGTTCGTTTACCAGTTAATTGTCGACGTTCACTATTTAATTCTCTATGAAAGAAAAATCAAAATAAATGACTTATTAGTATATTTGATTCGATATTTTCTTACTTGATTTTATCCATTAATTTTCGTTGATTTTTTTCTAAAAATGTATTTTTCATTCGCCATCTACTTGTCATATTTTGTTGTTCGACAAGTTGTCGTTCATATGAACGAATCTATTAGAAAATAAATTCTATATTATTTACGATAAATTTACTTTAAGAAAAACTCAATTAATACATTATCATCATTAGTACGAGTAATTCGACGTAAACGATCAAGTTCATATTCATATGCTTCGAGAATAGATACAAGACGACGTTGTTGATTCAATGAACTATTAGATAATTCTTCACGTTCAGATAGAAGACGTTTATCAACAAGACGAAAGAAATCATCTAGTTCAGCTTGATGACATTGTTGCTGTTCTATTAATAAATAGTTGAAAAGTATATGGGAGAATAGAGATGGGTTTTCATCAAATTTTTCCGTGTTCTGTCAGTTTTTTTACAGCTTCGTGGTAACTTTGGACAGAAGCTACGTTTAAATTTCTCTGGCAAAAAGTGAAATAAAAATAAACAGACAATGTAGATGCAAGATGAATAGGATTGGCGAAGGAATGGTTTAGTGCTGGGTCGTCTGATACTGGAGGAGTCGGGGCACGGTGAGTTTCGTTCTTCTCGCTAGTTCCGATCATCACTTCTAGTATTTCAAGAATGAAAGCACTTTCTGCGAGAAATTTTTCGCCCCTCTTATTCCTAAAAATTATCGACAACTCTTCTGTATACTCTACGTTTGGATTGTAATAGAAGACAAGATAAGGGACTTAAAAGTGTAGAAATACTTAAGTCTAAAATATTTCATGATTTTAATAAAAAAAATTTAACATTGCACAGCTAAACAAGTACGTACTCGTACTCAAGAAAACCTGTACGTGTTTAGCTGTGTAACTTTGGTTTTAAGAGTTATAGCCGCACGATTACAATTGTAAATTATTGAAAATTGTACATTTTCGATTATTTCTCTATACTTTAGACTCTTTTCATCTTACTATATTAAATAAAAATCTTATAATTTTTCTTTATTCATTTCATACCTCGACTCGCAATTAATAATAATTGTAATTTACGGAATCTATAAAAGAAAATATAATATTAGGTTTGTTTTGAATATATATATCATCTTTCTTTAATTATGTTTACCGTATATCAAAAACTTGAATATTTTCTAGAACACGTTTTAGTAATGTTTTCATATTTAATAAATGTTCTTGTTCTTGATTAAAAAGACAATCATAATTTGTTTGTTCGATTAAAACTGTGTGAAGATATTTTACTTCATTAATCTATTAAAAAAAACAAAAACAAAAAGGAATAATCATTCAATAATTTCTAGTCAAAAGAAAAATATTAACTAATTGATTAAGTAAAGATAATGAAGATGAAAGTGTTGTTGTTTTTGCTAAAAGTAAATCAAGTTCAATATCATTTGTTGTACTATTAAGACATTTAGTAATAGTTTCATTTGACATTGTTTCCTTACAATAAAAAAAAAAAAACAACAAATTATTTTTTTAATATGAATTAAATTGATATATAAATATAAATTAGATATACTAGAGAATTTATTTCACTAAATAATGATGATTGACAACTTCCAGATTGATTATTGATAGTTTCACAATCCGGTGTATCATCATCATTATCATAAATTAGACATGGTAAAGATTCATCTAGATTATCAAATGATATGCTTGATGAAGCAGAAATAATTCGAATTTCAGCTGCTTGCGTTCGAACTCTAAGAATAATAATCAAGATTAAATATGTTTTATTATTGATTATCGTTTTGTTTTTCTTTTTTTCTACAAACGTTCGAAGTTGTTCACGAAGTGATTCAGCATTTTGAACTAAGATATAATTTAATTTAACAATTTCTTGTTTTGTTAAAATAACTTCATCTAAATCATCTTGTAAACGACGAATTTGGTTTTCATTCTAAATATTTATTAAATAAAATCAATAGAAAATATATTTTATTTTATATTAATCAACTTCTTTTTGACGAATATTAGCTTCTTTTAATTGAACTTCAAGACAGTGACGATTTTCCTAAGACAAAAAAAAACAATTATCAAAAGAATTTATTAAATTATTTCAATTACATACTGTTTCTGTTGCTAACAGATTTTCAAGTTCATTATGTGCATCTCGCCATTCTTCTTGTCGATGATGTGCTTGCTTGATCTGAAAAAGAAATTATATAAACATGAGTAGATGTTAAAGAATTAATTAATAGTATATGTAATTGTACTGCTTTAATAGCAAAGTTAAACAGTAACATCTTTTTAAATGTATTCTAAAACGAGATTTCATAGATGAACTATGATGGCAAGGTTTCTAAAAAATTAGAACGATAATTTTCAGGTCCTAGAAGTAATTTTTTCACAATACCATTTAAAGAGTTTAACATTACAGAAAAACATTATTGTTAAACATTTTTGTCATTATCTTACATTGAGCTTAAAAAAGACGATTATAAATGCCAAAGAGTAACGCTTAAAAAGAATTTTATAATTGAAATTTTAAGTTGTTAATAATCATCATTTAGTTGTAGATGATGATGTACAAAAAAGATGACTAAGGTAAATGTCTCTCTCTACTAAACGTAGAAAATCATTGCAGAAAGAGTAATGTAAGTTCTGTCTGTAAAGTTGACTAAGATTATATTATGAAGGTAATTAGCTAATATGCCTTGTGTCAGACAATTGTTTAGAAATGAAACATTATTAATCAGTTCCAATTAATCATTTTCATAGATTAATGCATTCGTTTGCTTGTATTTTACCATTGAATTTGAAGTGTTTTAGTTTTACAAAGATCCATCTTCTTTAACTAAAGATATCGTATGTTAAAATGTACTTACTTGTACATCAAAATCTGTAACCATTTCGGTTAATTCAAGTTTTTCTTTTTCACGCATAGCTATTTCACATCGTAAATCACGACATTCATTTTCAAGTTTTTGTGTATAGACATGAAGATCAACGTTAGCAGATGCATGATAAGATGAACGATCAAGTTCTTCTTCTAATCTATAAGAGAAAAGAAAAAAAAAGAATTTATTTTTGTTTTGCAAATAAGATCTTAATTTACATTCGTTTTTGTTTTAATAAAAGATCACGTTCATTCTGTAATTGAGCTATATCATCATCTAATTGTCGATAATCATTTTCGAGTAATTGAATTCTTATTAATTGACGTCGATTAAGTTCACGTAATTCATTCTCTTGAATAAGACATCTAAATAGGATACATCTATATTTTTAAAATAATATTTATTTATTCTTTTTATTAACTTTTCATGATCATCCTCATTATCATAGACAAAAATTTGCTTTGTTTCAGTTGTCGATCGACGTCGATTGACAGAACCTATAGAGAAAAGGCTTATATAGGAAAAAAAGAGACGATTTTTCTAAAAGATTATTACAAACCGTAAACGCGTGGTGGTCGAATACGACGGATAGTAGGAGCAGCAGCTGATGCCATTGGAAATGATTTTATGATCAGAAAAAAGACTACACGAACAATTGACTCGTCAATAAATAAGTAATAATGATGATTCAGACATGTCTTTTAAAACCAGTAAAACGAACAAAGTACGCGTGTTCGTTGGATCATTCGAAAAACTTAGTGATTTATTACTTCATCACATCTATGCGACCTCTATCATTGAAACAATCGATAACATATATATATTCTTTTTTTTTTCGTTTTAAATTTTATTTTTTATTATAAAAGATTATAACAGATATTATACGTTCGTTTTCTGATCGATTGTCAATTACTTTTGACATACAATTCATATTTTGCATGAATAACAGAACCGATGTTAATTAAATAATTTATCGGTTTATTTTTTAGTTTTTTATTTCGTTTACATTTTTTATATTATCTATTCATATATTCTCTCAAATTCCGCATTTTTAAAATGAACTATTAACTATTATCTTTATCAGTCTATGGTTGCGATTGCCCAATTACTACATTCCAAGCTTCAAAATACTCAGTCATAGAAACAATTGGACCAATATGTAACGATGATGTACACAATAATAAGTTTCGATTTTTCTCGAATGCACGTCTACATCCTCCATTAGCTAATTCGTATTTTAAATTTTGCGAAGATATTGCTAAATTATTCATTTTAACTTGTGCAGCATCTCGAAGAATACCGGTCACAAATGGATCACCTGGATAATCAATGTGTTCAATTTTACTTACTGTATCAATCAAACGATCAGCACCAGTGGCTGTCACAGCATACAATAAACTCATTGCATATTGTACATCACCATTTGTTTGTGTCATCACAGCATCAACAAATTTTTGATAGGAACCTCGTTGTACAGTATTTTCTGAACCAAACCAACCGATAATGAGTTTTTGATTAGCAATAGATTCGATTACTGGTAAGAGTTGATCAGCTAATATTTTCGTATTAATAATAACATCGTCTTCAGTTTTAAAATAAAATGGTATATTTGGCAGATAACTACGTACCCATACCATCGCAGAAAGTTCTTTATAAGCAGAAAATGAATACATATCTGGCACAGTAATTTGAATGACATCATCAAAAACATTTTGTTCTGTAACTATGCGTTGTGTCATAAAATCATCAGTTCCAACAATAAAGAATGCTTTCATTCGTACGGTATCATTGCAATATAATCTATGAAAACCCCATGTTCGTCGTATAGCATCACGCACTTCAATATTAGCTGCTTTAGATAAAACCATAATGGGTACAAAATTAGTAGGTAGTGATTGAAAAACTAGATAAGGAGAATTATTAAATTCAATGAAAGACATAACACCTGGCCGTTTTTTTCTTGGTGCCAAAGGTGGCAATGGAGTTTTCTGTACTTGAATAGGTGGTGACAATTCTGAATATGATTGATGTTCTGGTTCTAAATAAAATAGTTACATGATTAAGAAGAAACTTGTTAATAAATATTTAAATAATGAAAACCTGTAGTTTTTGGTTGATAGAGAAGTGCTATCAAGACTAGAAAACCAAGACATAGTGCTAATACACTTTTTAATCGACGACGACCAAAGTATCCTACGAACATGTTGTGAGTATCGTCAGTATTCTCATACAAATGTATGCACATGCGTCTTCCGTTTTGCTTCGTTGCGCACTTTTTTTTCTTTTCGTTTACCATTTTGAGATTCTTTTTCTCATGGACACGTGTATACATAGCATAACTTCTAATTAAAAAAAAATATCATAATATATGTTGTTATTTCTACGTTGAATTAGAATGAAGAACTTTGTCTTTTGATGGTCAGCAGTCAAAGTATGTTGATAATTAAATTATTTATAAAATAAATAAGAGTTCTGTATATGAACTTTCAAAGTGTTATCTTTTATTTCTCCATATAACGAGAAAAATGATTGGAAATGACTGACTAATATTTTTTCTATTCTCAAAATGATTTTTTTCTAAAACCTCAACGTTTTTTATTCAAAAAAAAAAGTTTTAATTGTAATGTAAAAAACACAAGAAAAGTTAAAATTTTCTGTTTTAAGATAGTTATTAACAAAAGTCTCAATTGTTATTTTCTTGAAACCTCTATATTCCGAATCCATACTATACAATGTCAAATCTTCTGTTGTATATATAAGTTTATGAATAATGTCAATAGCAACTTATTGTTGAACTAAATGCTTCTAAGATAGAAAAAAAAATCGAAGGATACAAATAAAAAAAATTAAACGAAAATATTAGATAATGAAGTGAATTTTTGCTTTGATTGTTTCATTTGATAATATAATCGCATAGCATTTTTTCTCTTCTAGTTTTATGATGACAAAAACGTGATTGTTCTCATATCATGACTGTCGTGTCTCGTAAAATACATATTTATTAATTAGCGATTAAAAAGTTATTTTTAAATATGTCACTATGGGAAAACTTTTGACATTAATAATAAAAGCACATTTCAAGCTGTTATACAATAAATAGTCAATCAAGTTATATCTTTGCATCTATTCTCATTTGTTGAAATTTATTATATATTATTTAAAATTGTAAAACATCTGTTTTTCTTTTATAGAAAATGAACTTTGTAGTAAAATAGTAACAATGACTTTTTAAAGAACTTTCGTCTAGTAAGAATTAAGTATTCTAGACTTGTAACTCTGTCGAGTGGTGTACGAATTTATATCTCTTTTTGATTTGAATCATGCGCTGACTGAAGCATAACAAGCTCGATAATCGATTTTATCGAACAATGTCTACGGAAATTTATATCTGTCATTTTTTTGTGAAGTTTCTAAAGGAGTTTGGATTTAATTATTGGATAGAAAATAAAAACTTATCTTTGTAAAATAACTTTCAAACCTATATCGTTAGAACTCATTATTTCGAAATTACTTGCAAAATTGAAAAAAATGACACGACTAAAATTGAACTGCTAATAAAAATTGATACATTTCCGTACAGACTTTAATTCTTGTGGATGAAATTGGAACTTACACAATGCTTGTTTCAATGCATTATGTAAGATTTCTTTAACATCTTCTTAAAAGTTTAGATCTTTTAATCTCGAGAGTTCATGATTCTTGAAAAACTTCATGTTTGATATCAATATTCTTAAAAGCTACACGCTAAGCTTTGCAATTTTTTTCTGAATAAGTCTAAATTAACACTATTAGTAATTGAAATATCAGACGCCATATTTTAGCGTTTGTGTGAGATGGAGCTTCTCTAACTTTGTCTAAAATCAAGGCTTCAAAGCTGTAGTTTGACATAGTTTATGATACAAGACTATAAATTAATAATTGAATATAGAGTAATTTTGATGTTGAACACAAATATGATGTCTATTGTTAATAATTATGTTTAAAAGTATTTAAAAACTTGAAAAAAGAAACAGAAGAAAACATATAATCTCTTATAGTTTTTGAAACTTAGTTTTCGCTTATGTCAGAATGCTTTTGTATCACAGCTTGGTAGTTGAACTAAGACAAATTTATCAACGTTTCATACTTCTAGTACAGTTATATGATACATCTGTTTGGCTGTTTTATAATGTATAGATAAATATTAGTTTTTGATCACTTGTCATATGTATTATGCACACGCCTTTTTTTCATGATTGACAATTCTTTTGCCAAATGCAAGTCAATAATAAACACTGGAGGAACTGCCTGAAAACNGATAGAAAATAAAAACTTATCTTTGTAAAATAACTTTCAAACCTATATCGTTAGAACTCATTATTTCGAAATTACTTGCAAAATTGAAAAAAATGACACTGCTAAAATTGAACTGCTAATAAAAATTGATACATTTCCGTACAGACTCTAATTCTTGTGGATGAAATTGGAACTTACACAATGCTTGTTTCAATGCATTATGTAAGATTTCGTTAACATCTTCTTAAAAGTTTAAATCTTTTAATCTCGAGAGTTCATGATCCTTGAAAAACTTCATGTTTGATATCAATATTCTTAAAAGCTACACGCTAAGCTTTGCAATTTTTTCTGAATAAGTCTAAATTAACACTATTAGTAATTGAAATATCAGACGCCATATTTTAGCATTTGTGTGAGATGGAGCTTCTCTAACTTTGTCTAAAATCAAGGCTTCAAAGCTGTAGTTTGACTTAGTTTATGATACAAGACTATAAATTAATAATTGAATATAGAGTAATTTTTATGTTGAACACAAATATGATGTCTATTGTTAATAAGTATGTTTAAAAGTATTTAAAAACTCGAAAAAAGAAACAGAAGAAAACATATAATCTCTTATAGTTTTTGAAACTTAGTTTTCGCTTATGTCAGGATGCTTTTGTATCACAGCTTGATAGTTGAACTAAGACAAATTTATCAACGTTTCATACTTCTAGTACAGTTATATGATACATCTGTTTGACTGTTTTATAATGTATAGATAAATATTAGTTTTTGGTCACTTGTCATATGTATTATGCACACGCCTTTTTTTCATGATTGACAATTCTTTTGCCAAATACAAGTCAATAATAAACACTGGAGAAACTGCCTGAAAACATGCCATGGTAGAAAAATGTTTTGAATTATTTCAATTCAAAGAGACTTCGTTACATATATTATCATTAAAATACAGGAATAAACTTTTACATATATTAGACAATAGAAAGATATCATTCAGATTGAATAAATAAATTTAAGTAATATAAATTCGATAGATCAACGAGACAACACTATGAATACTTTACTCATACATATCAAACGACATCAACAATTGAAAAACTAAACCTCTAAAATTATATTTATTCACGATATTTCAGTGATAAACAGACCTTGAAGTCATTAGCGTATAAGTAAAATAATGAATTGGCTTGGGTTTTTCTAGTGTAATAGGCCTCACGAAGATGTAAAGTTTTTACAATATTTGTAAAAAGTGTACAATCAATAGACTCGCTTAATTCATTTTTCGCAGTCATTGACAACTAAAATAAGTGATTACATTTTTTTAAAATTAAACATAAATCTTGGTTACTTTCAAGTTCATTTACGCAAAGATAACTATTCTGTTTTATATTGGCTTGAACAAAACAAAAATTTATTTTTCCTCGCGAGTGAATTCATGTACCAATCAATATTTCAACTCTTCTGGAAAATAACGCTATCAACTTATTACTATACAAGAATTCTTATATTTATTTATTTTTCAAGTGATATTTGATCATCTTTGTTCGTAGAGATGTAGCGCAGCAAAGGAGACAGAGGGAGCGTGCAGAGCGGTTGAATCATAGAAAAAGGGGCACTGCGTGAACAATTTTTAAAAGCAGAGATAGACGTTATGTGAACAGATTTCAAAAGCACAGGACATCACGCTTTATTCGTCACCCCCCCCCCCCCCTAAGTCACGCTCCTGTTTGATTTGTATTAAATATTGAAATAATTTCTTTGATATCATAGTCAGTAAGTTCCAATAAGTAATGTAGTAACGTCTAAGTTCTCTTATTCTCCTAATCTGTCCCTTGTTCATGCTTACACAACTGGACTTGTCCTCTTCCTTCTGTTTCTTCTTTTGTTTTATTTTATATTCGCATACATATATAACTATTTATTATTTATGAATTAAACAGACAGATAAAATATAAAATAGGATATAATAAGATCATATCTATATGAACAACTATTATTCATACGTAAAACAAATATTAACAGTGTAATTCACGAAATTCTTCAATAGTCAACATTTTCCTTTTGCATTTAATACACGACTGATACATTGATTGTGATTGCAATGAAGGTCGACCATGAGTAGAATTTGAACTTGGTGTTGATACATTACCACTACCGACACTAATACCTAATGATGTTCGATGATCAAATCCACATTCAGACATTATTATTGATGTCTCATTACAGGTCATTAATTGAAAGAGCATTTCAGTCATTTGTTCCGTAAGTAACACTAAATAACGTTCCGGCACAAATTCTCCAGCAAAATAAATACTACTTGAAGGAACATCATTATCGTTTATTGACGTATGCTTACTGTCATTTAGTGTTGACATTTCTTCTGTTGTTTGACGACCATTGTTAACACGTGGTTTTGATTTATGCTGAAATAATGATGATAAACCTAACCGACTTGACAATAAAGTACCCATCTATACATATTCTATAATGAAAATATTAGCGCCTTCTATCAATTTCACAAAATTAAATATTTTATTAACAACAACTATATGTTTTCTACATAAAAGAAAGAATTATTTATCAATAATAAAGCAATATTCAAGCTCAAGCAAACAGAAATAATTCAACTTCCCTAACATTGAATACTATATCAGCCAAATTTTAATAAAATTAGAATTACATTGTCTCATTTTCATTCAAGTAACAGTAATAATCGGCCAAAAGTGACAATATTACTAAGGAGAAAGAAAATATCCTTATCTCAACATGAATATAAACTAATATTTAAATTAAATTGTTCGATAAGTTTTTTTTGTGATTAAAAAGTAAAAATCTAACAAGATGATTTGAATCTCAAGGGGACTGCCACCTCTTCTGGAAAACGGCCTATCAGAAAATTTTGAAACTTTCAGGGTAGATAGATGTAGATGAATTGAAAAAATGTGTCATAGACTCAAAATTGCTTAATATTTTCCTCTCGGAAATATTGAAGTCGTGAAGACTAAAAGACGCTTCCTTCCTGATGATTTTCAGCAAAAAATATTATATCTTTTCCATTTTTATTTAGACTTTTATAGTTATATATTGATTCTTGAAACATATCTAATAGATATATGATACTTCGAAGTGTATATAGAGTAGAAAAAAAAGTAAAAATGAAAGATCTAAAAAATTTCTGCTTAGAAAAGGAGGTGAAATCATCTTAAAGAATTTTTTTTCTAATTTGAATATGACACAGAAAAGAATTCTTAAGAAAAACCACATATTTTAAAATTCTATCATAATGAACATGTTCTATTCTGTAATTTGGAATCAAACAATGGTTTTATTCGATATTTTTCAAATAGCACGCTATGTATTGTAATGTTTGTATTATTGTAAATTGCTACCAGTTGTTCAATACAATATGTTTCTAAACAATATCGTTTCACCCAAGGATAATATGGATAAAGTTGATTTGGTCTTGCACGACCATCTATAAATGGTATTGATCGTTCATATTTATGTGAATAATTCTTGGCATAATAAAATTTATCAAATGATTTCCATCGAAGTAATTCAAAAATGACTAAAGGTTCTCGAGGAGCCTATAAAGCACATATTGTACGATAAAGCATATTTAGTTTTAAGAAACTCAAGCAAAACTTACAGGTAACCAAATTTGACCGAATGGACGCCAAACAAGTGGAAATATATCAAGTTTAGATATAGAGCAATCATGAATTGAATGGTCATCATTATTTTCTTTCCAAATATGTGTAGAATTTTCATCTAAATAAGTAATATGAACATTAGGATATGACCAATTGTATACACCAGCTTTTGGCGACCAAGGAAAATATAATATATCATAACATCCAAATTGATTAGAAATATTTAATATTTTAATAGTATGTCCAAGTTCTTGATGAAGAAGAGTGTACATACGTGAACGATCACGCATTAATACACGTAAATCAACATCATCATCCCATGGCAAAAAATCATGATGTGTATAGCTACCTAAAAATAAATGTGAAGTTTTTGATATTATTAATTGTATTTGTTTTTTTTTCTTACCTAATAATGTTCCATCCATCATCATATACGAGATGTTATGTCGACGAAAGAAATGGCCAATAATAATAAGTATTTCTGTATATAATTGATGCTCACATGGAGTAAGTCGACGAGGTAAATCAGGTGAAGAACGCCAGTTTGAGTAATGATAAGAAATTTCTATGGATTTTTGTTTAGTATATTTGTTTAAATTCGGTGATATAAATGAAATATTTTGTTTAAATAATAAATTCGATAGTTTATTTTTTTTCTCATTCTCAATACGTTGATGAATTTTAGAACAGAAAAGTTTCATTTCATCTGTCCAAATTGATTGTTGTCCATTCTCATTGTATATTGTTTTATCGTAATTGTTTGTTTTAGGAAAAGATTTATACGATATGAAAAAATTTATTAAAATATATCCAAATAAAAACAAAATCATAAATTGTAAATTACAATGTTCTAATAATTTTATCATTAAGTTATGCTTCATAACAAAGGTTGACACATATATTAAATTGCGTTTTTTTACGTTAATATGTCTCGTATATTGGTCATGGATGAATGCATACAAATATATACCTGTACCTTCATCGATAAATAAAATGTACTAGATTGCATGTTTTTTATAAAACTTCGAAATTAAAGATATCCAATACTTAAAAATAATTAATCTACAATAATTCAATGCAATTATGAATAATATCTAGTGATTTCAATTTCAATTTGAAACTACTAACTGAAAATCTAGTCAAACAGAACATTCTAGCGTATGCGAAAGGGAAAATCTCATCCAATTTATGTCAATGTTTTACCGTAGTCACTTTTTGTTATTTACCAATTTGGTATTGTCACCTTTTACCAATTATGGGTGGGAACTTTTTTGTTTACGAATAATAAAAAATATTACCAGTTTGGTTTATTGTTCAAATTTTGCAATACTTTAATGACAACATACTATTATGACTATTTTTAAATTAACAATACAATTTTTTCATAATCTCGAACACTCGAAAACATTCATAGAAATAATCTTCGATAAACAATTTCTATGAATTATCAATTTGTTTTCGTTCTTATTATGTTATAATGAACACAAATTAATGATTGCCATTTACGTATTTTCATTTACCAAAAGATAATAAATCGACAACAGATGAAATTCAATACTAGTTTATTGTTTGTTTTAAAGAATTGTTTTTTAAAACAGAAAATCTGTGTTATTTTATTAAATATAATTTCGTAATGAATGTTTATCTTTGATTAGTTTTTTTGTCAATAGAAAACGTTCAGCAAGAATAAGTCGAATATAAAAAAGAAGAATGTCACCTAAAAAAACAACAATTTTGCAAAAATAATTGTTTTCTAGTTGTTGTGCGTATTTAAAAAATGAGCATTATAATGTCATCAAACGTTTTTAGTAATATTTTCTACAATACTTTCATGTGGCTTCCATTCTCCTTTGTTACATAGCACGTATTGATAAGAAACATTATTTGTTGTTTGAATTCGACCAAGAAGAAAATCTGCGTAGGTTAATGTTGCTTGCAATTTAAATAAAAGCATCTGCCGAAATGTACCTTGGCAAGCACGATAAGCCATTGTATTTGTATCAAAATCAAGTTGTACAGTAATATTTGATTGCATTGTACCTAATGGTCTTAAATACATTTTACGACCATAGATTTTTTCTGCATTAGGGCCAATTGGTAGAAGTTGATGTTCAACTGATGTTGTTAAATTAATTAAACGTATTGGTACCCAATTATCTGATCGAACAATTGTTTGATGTGTAAATGTTATACGAAAACAAGTTGTGTTTCGAAATGTATCATTTGTAACGTCAATAATAATTGGGTTTTTTATAGATAAATGTACAGAACGTGGAAGAATAGTAACAATAACAGCTGAAGCAATAATTGTACAAAAAATAATCGTTAATATAATCCATAAGAATACAGGTCGTCGTTTAAGACGAGCATCATCAAGTGGAATTAAGGCAACGAGACCGGGTGATGTTGTTACTTGACCTGTTCCTTGACATGTTGGACATCGACGATTAGCATTCGTCGTATTATCTATTGTTGTATTTAAAAGTGGTTCGTCGTCGTCGTTCGACGCCATTGCTGCTGATTCTGTCATATGTGCTTTGAATGATTGCTATTTCTTTTAGTCTTCCGCCTGTCTGTCTTTTTTTCTTTCTCCATCCCCAACATTATTTTTCTTCTTTTTCTTTCCAGATCTTTTTCCATTCTGTTTGTATTTTAGGTTTTCTTTTTCTTTCGATGTTTATACGCTCACGCTTACTTTATTTTCTGATTGGTTTAAAAACTTACATTCATTCCTAGTGCTTTCAATCAAACAGCGTAGAACACGGTTGTTCAGAATAATGTAAAGACATGCAATTGCTTGATGAAATGCAGGAAAGAAAATAATATAACATTATTGTTGTTTAACAAAATATTTGATCAAATTTTTTGTAATAAATTTATTCAATAGGCAATTAATGTTCTTCCTCTATAGATATTTATCTTTAATAAAAAAAAGTTAAAGTCATTAATAATATATCAAAACTTATATTTACTTGCTTTTAATTATTATTAAATCTGTATTAGATGTCGCTGAGATGCAATGTCATGGTAGAATAGTATACTAAACAGCACTTTATGTTAAAATACATTATATTTTGATACTTACCTGTGATGATAATATGAAATAGAGCAGAACGAAATAGTTCATACTTAAAATGTTTTTAAATAATTATCAAAATACATTTTAAAGTAGAAAAGTATGCTGTTTACTTGTCATATAGAATCTGATAAACAGTAAGGCAGTTAAATATTGACGTGAAAACTCTTAGGAATATTAAAATTACATTTCTATGAATTATATGAATCTATATAATTTGATGTTTTTTTTAATCAAAGTTCCTACTTTCTTAATGTAGATGATGAAATGTAATCGAAATAATTATTTTCAAAATAAAATTCAAGTTTGTTTTATTCGTATACTTCATCTTCGATATGAATATAGATTTTTAAAAATGAAAGTGTCGTCTAAATCAATTAGTTACTGTTTATTCTATTAGGGATAAGAATAATATTAGAGTACATCATTGTCGTGTCATAATGATTTCTATATTAATAAGATAATAGTTTATCTACTATGTCAGAATTAAATTTTAATTAATGTCCTCATCAAAACTTACGGGATGTTCCAGAAGTTCTGAAATGATTTTTAAATTCATCGTTGATGCATTCAGCAAAAAAAATATTCTTTTCGATTTAGGTAGATCATTGTGTCTATTAGGTACTAAATAACTACAAAGTTTCAGATATAAGGCTGATTCCCCCTAGTAATGTCGAAAGCAAAAATGTCGAAGCTGAAATGTAGAAGCTAAAAATGTCGAAAATAAAAATGTCGAAAGGTACAAATGCCGAAAGCTAATAATGTAGAATAAAAAACGTCGAAAGTTAAAATGTAGAAAAGAAAAATATCGAAAAATACAAATGTCGAACTATAAAAACATCGAAATGTAAAAATGTNTCGAGCTCTTAGTTTATTGCTGTAGAGATAGTGTACTTTTACAGTAGGGTTTTTAAATGAGTGCCATAGTAACAGAAAAACTAATTTTCGATTTGAAACTTTGATATGTTTTGAGTTTTCTTCTATCCTGATATGATAGCTTTTGAATAAAAAAGATTATAATCTTACTTTTCCAACTTTGTTCATATCGAGCATTTGTAATTGTTTCCAATACGACAAATATATTGTGTGGTTTGAATGTAATTCGCAATTGTTTTCCATCTTACATTTTTTAATAGAAAAAATAAAAAACAACAAAAAAGAAAATCTTACCACGAGATAAATTAAAATCAGCCAATGATGAATAACGTTGTTTAATTAAATCGAAATTATCAATTAAATATGCTTGATTATTATTAATAATTAATGGTGGTGGAACTTCATTTTCATTATCAAAATTTTTTATTTGTTGTAAAATAAAAAGATTGTCAGTTTGTTTTTCATTATTATTAATTATGGGCCATTTAACTTGAATTGTTTTTTCTTCTAATATATTATTATTAAAAAATAAATAAAAACTTTATAAATCAATGTCTAAAATAAAATCTACTTACTAATTAAATTAGCACTACGTACACGAAGATCTTCATCGCGATATCGAGATAGATTAGCTAGAAAAAAAAAATTATTAATAAATAATATTTATTTTTCATTAAAACAAACCAGCAAATGTATCTTTCATAGTTGTTAAATATTTATGTTTAACCATATGGCTATGTGCACTAAGTGCATGTAACTGATTAAGTATGAATGAATGTTCTTCATCAATTTGAGCACGAGCTAATTCAGCATTTTCTAATGAAGCAAACAAACGTTTAAGTTCAGCCATTCGTTTTCTTATGAATCAAAGACTTCTTTTTTCGTTTTTTCGTTTATTTTATTGATTTCTGTTGTGCTTGTCTTTGTTCCCTCAAAATAATTCAACTAACCAATAGATTTTATGACAATATGAAAGAAGACGCTAGTGGTCATTGTTGACTTTTTATATTTCATGTTTAATTCAATGGAAAAAAAGCACCTAGCTCATTTTAAAGATTATCTTTTATACTTTATTTTAAACTCAAATATTAACAGTACATTCCAATGCTCCTCGACGCTTTAAATTATGCCAAATACAGACAATTTGATGGAGAGCAATATATTGTTCCTAATAAAAAATCAAATATGAATTTTGTTAGACAATATTCAATTCATATTTACCAATGATACTAAAGCATTTATTCGTTGTTGGCAAATGAAAGTAACAAAATTTTCAATTGCTACACGACCATCAATTAATAAACGATCGAATAAATTTTGTACTATACAATAAAATGCTGCTTTTGTACCACCACCACTAAATAGAAATAAAAACAGATACGAATCAAGTTTATTGAAATCGAAAAATAAGTTCATTCTGTATATTTCTATTCATGAATGTTTCCGTTTGAAACTTGATTGATACTCTTTGAATCTTGAGCAAAACAAAAAAAAAATACTGCGACTAGCTTTTGTCTATAACTTGAAAAACCTTAGATTTGTGAAATATCTACATATTGATTAGTAAATTTTGAACTAACCGATCATGAACAACAAGACCACATCGATTTAGATCAATCTTACGTTGATGATAAATTGATCGATCAACAAAACGAACAAATTGTTCAAGATTATTAGGTAAACATGTACCATCACTTGTCCATTCGCCAGTATATTCAAAAATGAGTACATCAGATTCACGTATATCACTCTAAATATAAAAAATATCGAGATTATTAGAAATTGTTTAATTATTTATCTGTCATTAACATACATATTTTACTTTTATTTTATGTGATCGATAATAATCACCAAATTTATTTTTTGATGGATTAACAGATAGGCTATCTACTTTTATTTCATTTTGACTAATAAATTGTGATTCGGTATAATTTGATTTTTCCATCTAGAAATAAATACATCAATTATTAAAACTAAAAAGAAATAGGTTAATTTATTATCTAATGAAAACCTGTTCAACAGCAACAACAAAAGTTTTATATTCTTGTAGAAGCATAGAAAAGAATGGTTGTAGAGTAGATTTCATTGGTTCTTGAGTTAAAATTGTTCCATTTGGTCTGATTATATTCTATTGATTAATCTATTAGAAGATTTAAAAAAGAAAGTCAATCATCTTACTGTAACACGTGTTGCATTGATATACATTGATTCACTTGGTGAATGAAGTATAACGCGATTATAATCATCTAAATAGATAAATCAAAAATTTTCTTAAATTTAACCAAAACCAAAGTTTACAAGGAATAAATAATTGATTTCGATTATAATTCGAATGTTGTTGAGCCATAATTGTTGTTAAATATGTGTCTGGTTCAATACTAGTTGTACGATTCTATAAAAAAAAAAAATGAAATTAGCAATGAAATTACTTTTTCAAGGTATCAATTGTGAAAGAAGAAGCTTTTAGTGCAATGGCTGTTGGATTAAAATGTGAAAAACGATGCAGCCGCTGTCGCTAAGTACATGGGGATTATTTTCTTCTCTCTATTTTCGGATACGGGGTTATTCTTTCGAGGGTGTACCAGACTTTACATCGACTTCATGCGAATCGAATGAAGCTTTCAGAGTTTCTAGTACTTGTATCTGTAAGTATAGCTGTAGAATTAAAAAATTTTAATAACCTTGCCAAGGGATCCGAATAGAAAGAATAATTTTGGATCTCCCAGCGAAAACCCGATTTCTAGAATTTCTCTATTTTACATGATAGAAATGTGAAACTTTCAGAGTAGATACTAATGAATAAGGCAGTTATTTCATTAACCGGGAACTTTTTTGTTCAACGTTTTCTTCGCATTGAAAATTTTCTCACAAAAATCACCTATTTCGGATTTTTGGAGTCTAAATTTCTCCGACAAGGAACAAGATTTAATTGATGATTTTATATGCGTTAGAATTGTACTTGAACATACATCTCAGTTATAAGATTTGAAAAGGCTTAAAGCCAAAGCTGAGCGCTAAGGCGGGGGATTAGAGGGGAAGATTTTCACCTTTTTATACGCTTTAGGATCGTCTGATGAAAAAATTAAGGATTGCAGTGAGCTGAGCAGTATATATTCATAGCCTATTCAAACCGAACTAACAAAAAAAATGATATTTCAACATTGGCCCGATCCTTTTAGGATTGAAGGATTTTCAATGGGATTTTCATAGAGATTTTCCTGAATTTTCAAACTCATTGACCATTGAAGTGAAAACATTTTTGTTATAGAATATGCCAAGAAAATCTCAAATATAAGGTTTTTTCCTGGCGATGATCCTTAGTTTTCTTATCAAATAATCCTAAAGCTTCTAAAAAAGTGAAAATCCTCCCCCCACAAATTCCCCGTCTTAGCGCTCAGCTTTTGTTTTAAGCCTTTCAAAATCTTATAACTGAAATGTATGTTCAAAGGCAATTCTAACGCATATAAAAGCATCAATTAAATCTTGTTCCTTGTCGGAGATATTTAGACTCCAAAAATCCGAAATAGCTGATTTTTGTGAGAAACTTTTCGATGCGAAGAAAACGTTGGACAAAAAAGTTCCCACTTAATGAAATGACTGCCTCATTGATTAATATATACTCTGAAAGTTTCGCATTTCTATCATTTAAAATAGAAAAATTCTAGAAATCAGGTTTTCACTTGGAGATCCAAAATTATTCTTCCTATTCGGACTTCTTGGCGAGGTTTTTAATTTCTTTTTAATTCTACAGCTATACTTACAGATACAAGTACTACAAACTCTGAAAATTTCATTCGATTCGCATGAAGTCGATGCAATTATGATACGCTTTTGAAAGAACTACCCTACATTTTGTTTATCATTCTCTCCAGGTATGCAATGAGAAAATAGTTCATATAATATAACAAGACATTATTGACATACGGTCTTTGATCATATATCGACAACGTATGTCACAGTCTGTGATAAGGGTAGGGAGGAGAGAGAAGTATTGCCTAAGGCATTTGTCATGGCTGTGATGCATCATTGCTAACATATCTGTAATAAGCCGTTTCTAACGTATCTATGAAGGGAGACTGTAAATTTCTACTCTACATACTACTTCCTTCAATACTCCTTTAGATTATGTTTCATAAAAGTTACCTTAAAATTATAATAAATTGTACTATCTTCTAAGCGTGCTGTTGGTAATAGATTATTACAATATTCAATAAATTTATCTAATGATCGACCATCACATGGATGAATAGCAACTTCAGCTAAACATCGATAGATAAATTCATATTGTTCCTAAATGAATTCTATCTACTAAATATCTATCATTGAGAATGTAGATATTACATACAACTGTTTGAACAAGATGTGCTCGATAAAAACGAATTGTATCAACTAATTGTTTAACATTTAGTACATAACGATGTGCAAAAGCTTCAATTAAATAATAAACTGCAATAAATACACCTGTTCGACCAATCCCAGCACTGAAAATTTTTAATATATTTATGAAATAGAAAAATATTTTTGATTACTATTAACCTGCAATGAACAAGTATACGACAATTTTGATTATTTGGTTCAAGTAATCTCATAACGAGACTAATTATTGAATGACAATCAACAGGTATACTTTTATCAATAAAATGAGGATAATGATATTGTTCACAATTGTATACAGAATCTGTTAACTAAATAAATCATATTTAACTATTTTCTTATCTTATTTTATTTTACCTTTGATTTAATACGTAAACGTCGACCAATATAACGATATGCTGGAATAATAGCTGTTGTACGAATTTTATAAAATTTTGTTTCAATAACAGCATTTACTTTTTCAGAAAAATATGCGGCATGTTCTTGCTAATGTTTTGTTTTTATAGAAAATATTTTATATGTAGAAGACAAAAAAAAAAGATTAAAATAATTAACTAACTGCATAAGTACATGTTATCGGATCGTAACTAAACGAGAGCATAACAATCACTGTTATTTGTTGCTCAATAATCATTTGTATAAAGTCATCAATAGTTTGTTCAGTAGGTCCTAAAAAAAAGAAATCGAAATTTTTTGCTTTCAACAAAAATATTTTAACCTTGAGCTGCATAAATGATTCTTGAAATAGGTGTTGTAGTTATTTGATCCTATAATAAATCAAGAACTAAATATATCGAATTAGGTTGTTTTTTCTTTTGTTTTTGCTTTCTTTCATACTGGTGGAATACAACGTATAATTGACGCATTAATATAATCAGAATTATCGTTTGATTGATTATCGATTTTCTTCTTCAAAGAAACTCGACAAAAGTCTTCATCATCTAAATTTAAATAATAAATATAAATAATAGATAAAAATATTTCTATGATTTGACATGGATAGACTAATGGATAACGATTTTTAGATTTATTAACTGGATTTGTTGCAATAGTTATACGGTTTTGATCCATATTTCGAAGGGTCTAACAAGAATGAGAAAAAGATTTTGTTATTTTTTTTTAATAAAAAATTTAATTTTATATATAAAACAAACATTAAATTCTTGTTCAAGAAGAATACCATCATTTGCAGTTAATGTTCGCCATTTTTTAACTGCTTGATGAACTGAAAAATCATATTGGTGTTGATATGAATCCATATATGTGTATATTATATTATATTATTTTAGTTTTAGATTACAACAGAAATAAGAAAAGAAACAGTTATGACGATTGTCAGTCTTAACCAGACATCAATGATAAGCATATCTATACTAGTAGTAACATATATCAGAATAATATCATTTTTCGTTCTTTTTCTTTTTTTAATACACAGAATAAAGAAAAATTTTTAAAAATGCTTTTCTTTTTAAGTAAAAACAAAAGGACAATACATTTTAAGTCCAATCGATATTCATTATGACGTTGATTTTCTGTATAGGTATTCATGAAGAACTAATTATTATGAAATTTTTTTCTGTTGTTTATTCATCTAGATATTGATAATTCCTATCTTGAAAAAGAGTCCTTGCTCAATGATTACAATGCTCTTGGTATTTTCTTAAAAAATTCCTTTGTTATTATGAGTAAAAAAACGACATAAGTAGAAATTCCTTATAAATATTCTGTCGAGATTTTCTGTATTGAAAAGAATAGGATAAAATACAGATATATTTTAATGCGTTAAGCCTTAGAATGGTTCCAAAAGAGATACTGATACGATAGTTATACAAACCAGGTGTTGATCTTGCTATGATATGATAATAGTATGAATAGATCGACTTTTCAGAAGTTTCTTCTGACATTATTATAATTTTCGAAATGCACTTTATCTTCTGATAGACATCGTCGTCCTGATATATCCTATAGCATGTCCTTGAAATGTTTACTGTTTTTCAGTGAAACAAATTTCTTATACAAATTTTGTGAAACTGACAGATTTTGTAAGTCATTCATTTCCAAGATAGAGTAATGAAAAAATCAGCTTCTTTTTTACCCATTGACAGCAAACAAAGTTTATTAGTAAAATATTTAACCCATTATCTCCAAATGTCTATTTGTAGAAACATCATTGAAAAAAATTGAATCATGCGATTCACAACTAACTCTAAGTTGGTTGGTTATAGAGAACTTTATGAATTATCAATTGCCAAAAAAAAAATATTATTTTGTTGCATTGCTTTGTATACGAAAAGCGTGATACGCGAAATCGATAAGTTTGAGAAAAATAAAAATTTTCTTAGTTTTTTTTGCAGACAAAATACACCTCGGAGATGTGTTTTATGATATGTATCGACAAAAATGTTGACTAGTCAATCAAATATGTTTTACAAGTTTAGAGCCCATCGGGTCCAAAATTTTCGAACTCGACCAGATCCAGGACCCGCCCAACAGGCTCTACGCTGTAGCAACCATCCGTAGGTGAACAGAGATCCTCGATTAAATATTCAACGCTTTCTGAACAACTTACTGCTTTGCAAATCCAATCGACACTAATATCAATTGTATGCAAGCAGTAAGACGTGGGGAAGTCTCAATTTGGGTTTTGATATGCGCCCCAGTGAGGATGTGGATGTGTGTGCCCTTGTGGCTCTTTTCTTCAATCTATTTAACCAATTACACTTGAACCTACATATACACTTCCACACCCAAACACACCCATCGTCATACCTACACACTCACATCCAAAACCAACACTCCACACGTATACCATATCAACAGACCTCACCCTCTACGACCCAGTCTGCATCAATGGTACAATTTTTCNGTGTGAACATGCCTCTATCCTTGGTAAAAAAAATGAGCCCGTTTGGTCGAGTTGTAATGAAGATATTCAACTTTTTCTTTGTGGAGTTACTTACTGGACACCCTATATAATAAACGATCTTATATAAATTGTAGGAATTTTGATGCCGCATCATTTGGTATATTTTGTTTTCTTAATAGAACCTGTTTAGTGATTCAAATATAAAAGGCCAAGTACGGCAATTCATTGTTGGTCACCCGGTGTTATCATAACCGTCCAATTATGATCTCAGTATAGGCCTAACAGTTTTCTAGGACTAATTTTTTTCTCAGTCAAGATCGATTTAAGATGGAAGACTGCATGATATAGGTTTTAAAGATTTTTCTTTTTTCCATTTATAATGAAAATTAAAACAAACAAAATTAACTCAATCGGACGCATATGATAAAATTCAATTCATTTTTGACGTCTAGTGAGAATAGAATACTTTCGTTTTAGAAAACAATAAATATATATGAAGAAAAGTGAGAATTACAAAAGCAACTTTTATCTTTTCATTATACATGTAGAGAGAAATATTTTCTTTTTCGATAATAAAACATAAAGAACATGGAAAAACTAAAAATCCAAATACAGGGTGGCGCAAAAGTCAGTTTACCCAAAAAAAATTGAATATCTCCATTACGGTTCGAGCAAACGAGCTGATTTTTTTATCAGTGATAGAGGCATGTACCAAGTTTATATCCAAAAAGACATGCCTAGAGAAACCCTTTGTTAAGTATGTTGTTTTTTCTCCTATCTGTCAAAAAGTAAAACTTTTTTTGTTGAGATCAATAGTGATACTTAACAAAGAGTCTCTCTAGGCATGTCTTTATGGATATGAAGCTTGAACATGCCTCTATTATTGGTAAAAAAATCAACTTGTTTGCTCGAGCCGTAATGGAGATATTCAATTTTTATTTTGGTAAACTGACTTTGGGGCAACCCTGTATATGGCCCAAAAGTGACGATACCAAGAAAAACCTAAATATCTCCGCTACGGTTCGAGCAAACGAGCTGATTTTTTTACCAATAATAGAAGCATGTTCACACTTTAAATCCATACGGACAATATTAGAGAGAGCATTTATAAAGTACCACTAATGACCTCAACAAAATAATTTTACTTTTTTCAGAGATAGAATAGAAAACAATACACTTAGCAAAGGGTTTCTCTAGGCATGTCTTTATGGATATACAGCTTGAACATGCCTCTATCATTGATAAAAGAATCAGCTCGTTAGCTCGAGCTGTAGCGAATATATTCAATTTTTTTCGGCAAAGTGAGCTTTTTTCTAACTGTGAAAAAGTAAATTTTTCTTCTTGAGGTCAATAGTGATACTTAACAAAGGGTCTCCCTAGACATGTCTTTATGGATAAACTTAGTACATGCCTCTATCACTGATAAAAAAATCAGCTCGTTTGCTCGAATCGTAATGGAGATATTCAATTTTTTTTGGGTAAACTGACTTTTGCGCCACCCTGTAGAATTGCAAATTAGGTTCGAACTTGCTTATCAAATACGAGAGAAACAGTTTGTCAATATCGTGAGATAAACCAAGATGAATCAATGATCAATAAAGATTTTCATTGAAAACGATTAATACGAGAAAAAATATTTAGTTTAGCAAAATTTTCTTCGTCTAAATAATAGTTTCTACTAAGACAATCAACACAAGAATAATGTTAGAAACTCACAAATAGGGGTGTCATACCGCTTTCCACCACTTCCACTTACCAGGTAAGTAGTAAGTGTTTTAGTCATCGAAAAATTATTGGTATAGCATTAATAAATGATTGTTTTAAGTATTAATTATTTATTCTTTCATAATGATCTTCACCACTTACCACTTACCGGTAAGTGGTAAGTAGTTTTCATCTAATTGAAGACAGACCATTCACAACATAAAATTGATGATTCCACCATAAGCTTTTCGTGACCTTTTTGACTAACTAAATTTAATTTAGGTATGCATCAGTATAGTCCGACTAGGAGTCAATCGCCGATTCGGTGCCGGTCCGATCGGGTCGTATTCTCACTGAGGGATGCAATCCTATGTCTCATATGAATCATGACTGGTATTTATAGAACACGCATCAGTAGGTATTAGTGCAGAATCATTAAGTGGGATCCAGTACCTAGTAGGAACTAACGAGGGAACCGTTCAAAGTGACTCATCACTTTTGAGCTCATGTTTTGCGTATATCAAGAGGACCTCTAGACTAGAATAATCCTAGAGAGAGATTCGACCCCATGACTTTCTTGTCGTCAGATATTGAATTTTCAAGTTCCTAAGTAATATAGCGTTTTTGACCATATATTATCACATCATAGCACGAAGGAAAACGTATTACAAGCTAAAATTTTTCTGATGAATTTTTCTGATCATTAGCATATTATCCTGAAGTTCACAGACTTTTGCTTCATGTATCTAGCTTACAATACATTTTTCATAAATCAAAACATCGTCACAGACACATCTGCTGGGCGATGAGAAATAGAAAAAAATGCGTACTACACACATTCCATCACGTTCTGTTGTGGTAAATGATAGAGACTGCGTTATGATTATCGTAATAAGCAAAAGCATATTGTGATACATGTGGTTCGCGTGAGTCTTCGTTGTTAGATATTTTGTTTCACTCATCTGTGTAACCAGAAGGATGATTAGTCCTACGAGAATTACGAAGCTTTTAGTGGGTCGAGGGGCTGAAAATGAATAATCACACCGTCTAGGACTTCAAAACAAAATCACGTGAGGAAGAAATAAATAGTTCATTATTAAAAGTAGTTGGCAATGTTTACAATCGTACATCGTTCGAACCCAATTCAGATGTGACCTTTGATTACGATGATGACGACGAATTTAGTGACTTTGAAGATGAAAGTAACGCTTCTGAAAACGAAAATCTTGATTCCAGTTTTAATGAGACTGCGAAAGCTGAAAAACTTCCAATTAAACTGAACTTCAGTCTCAACTACATGGAAAAGCTATTGATTATTACGATGAGCATGATTCGAAAGACAGAACAAAACAGATGGAAGTCAACACAGCATCGGTTCAAATTCGTTACTGAACAACAATATATTGCCCGCTTTCGTCATTACATCGAACAAGGTGGTAGAAATCGAGGGAAGATATAGACTATCGATGATTTGTTTATGACAAGTTTGAAGAAACTCGAGACACTTTTCTCTATGCATACGATCGGAATCTGAAACGATAGGTACTTCAAAAAGCTGCTGAGAATTCTATTCTTACATTCGAAGCATCCAAATAGTGATAGCGAGTCTTCAAAGATTGCCACCGCATTTGTTCGAGAAAACTCACGAAACTACTAATTTGCCATCATGCAGAAAATTCTGATGCTATCATAACATGTGCTGATTCCTTTTTAGCCGATGTGAAACAGAAGATGAAGGACTATGTACCTGAAGAGATTTTAAATATTGATCAGGTTGGGCTGGAACTTGAACTTCAATCGACTATAACACTGGCATGAAGGTAAAAATGTTACGTTGGCCTGTGTGAAATCAAAGAATGTCACAAGGTACTCTTAAAATATTCCAAAAAATGATATATCTTACTGGATAACTCGTCAGTCTCGTTTCTCTTTGCTTGAAGGAGCCAAAGCGGAAGATGAGCGACAGTGACTTGCCCAACTTAATTTTTCTTGTAGAATAAAACGATATACCCTTTATTAGATATCAAAAAATACTTTTTTTTCTGCTCCAACCATTGTTGTTACATGCAGTTCTTCAGGGAAGCTCACCATCTAATTTGCAGGATACAGGAGAGATTACATTCTTCGCCCGTTTCCTCCAATAAACTTTCTCTTTCTCTAGGGTTATTGGTCTTATGAGTGAAATTCAAATATATGCTCTGGCTTCAAAGGATATAAAAGACTAGAAATACCTGCTCATACTACATTGCGCATTCAACCAATCGATGTCTATTTCAATACACAATTGAAATTGATTGCTCGTCGTATTTTCGATCATAGTCAACTCGATGATATTGCCATTAAACGTATCTGAACAAAACAATATAATACGCTTAAATTCTCTAATTTGCAAGCAGCTGTCCTCATCTCTGCTCATACCTATGGTAAAATATTCATGGTTCACAGCAGGTAGCGTTGCTCAGCATCCAGGAGATTTCGAGTCCATCAACAAAATTTGTTTTAATGTCAACGGTAGCTTTTGTCAACAGTCGAACTGTCACTTGCTGCCCTTTATTCAATGCAGTTACTGTCGTAAATTTCTTTTTTGCTTCGAGTATTTTGTCGAAGCTTATCACTATCATATGTAAATATTTTTCTATCGATCTTCTCGATCGCAGCATTTCAAATATAACTAGTCGTACAAAAATAATTCAATGTCTAACCGCTGTCATTTATGAAGGAGCCTAATGTGGGCTATAGCCATAGCATAGTTTATAAGAAAACTTTTAGCTTGAAATATGTTTTCATTCGTGGTATGATGTAGTGATACATGATCAAAAAACACTGTGCTACCCAAGAACTTGAAAATTCAATATCTCAAGACAGGAAGGCGTAGGATGAAATCTTTTTACGATTATTCAAGTCTAGAACTTCTCTCAATATCCGTAAAATATGGGTTCAAGACCGGGAAATCAATTCGAATGGTTTCTTCGCAAGCTTGGTGCATAACTAGGTAGATCATCCCGTGTTTTTCTCTCAGTCTTTTAGGTTGGATTATTTGAGGTAGCCCATCACTTGGTAACAACCATCTAAATGTGGCCTCCTTATAAAAGAATATAACACTTACCACCACTTCCACTTACTAGGTAAGTAGTAAGTGTTGTAATTATCGAAAAAATTATCGATATAGAACTAATAAATGATTACTTTAATTATTAATTTTTATTCTTGCATGGTAGTATATACCACTTACCACTTTCTGGTAAGTGGAATATGACACCCCTACTATTGAATTACGAGAATCTTATCGATTAATTTGGATTATAGAAAGATCAACACTAGTAGAAGAAATATCCAACTTTATTGAATGTGTAAACATGACTAATGATAGATGTTTAAATTATGAACAATTTAAACAATTTGTTAAACTTGAGCATGGAAGAGAAATACTTCTTAGTGTTAGTATGGAACAATAAGTTTTTTCAGATGTAGGAAACAATGATTTTAAGACTTTTGAAGTTCGTATATTTTTTATATGATTTTTTGTTTTTTTATACATTACATATTTTTGAAAAATCTGAAGAGACATATGTATATCTTCTTACATTCTTCATTCACTTTAATTTATTGTGTCACAGAATTCAGCAGAAATATTTATTTTGAAAAATCTATTGCTTGATAAATGAGATGTAGACTGAATTCATATAGTGCCAATTAAATCTAAACTAATGCATGACAATTATAGTCGACTGACATCTATAATAGTCCACTCTGATTTGTTCAGAAGACTAATCGAAAGGCCCATTTGATACAGATTCAAAAAAATCATTTTCCCAGATAACTATTCATATCTTCCATAACAAGGTTTCTTCGTTCCACTATCTTCATTTTAATTCAATCTTTAGATGAAAGAACCGATGTCAAACAAGATATTTACATCAGAATCAATCATTAGTTCGGGTCAAGAACAATCATCAATGTCAAATGTAGAAAAGATCAATTTAGATACACAAATTGATGATATTCGTTCAAATGTAAATTGACATACTCTTTTCTTTTATAATAAGATAAGCTTTATTTCTAGTCAAAAAATTCATCTGATGTTCCTGAAGCATTTATTGAAACTCTTCAATCATCAATTTCATCAACAATCGATGCTAATAAAACAAATCCAGGTCCAAGCAAGAAAAATCAAAAGAAAAAAAATCAAACTCCTTCTAATCAACAATTTACACAAGTAAATCTGATTCGTAATTTTAAAGAAAATCACATTTTTAAATTTGTCTTTTTTTTAGTCAATTACACCTGAAGAAGAAAGAAAAGTTCCGCCACGATTCACTTTTTCAGCTAATTCTTCGATTAACCTCCTGAATCCCGAGAATTCTTGCGTTCTATTCGAAGCTAGAGAAAAATAAAAAATCACTTTCTTTTGCGTTCTGTCGCTCTCAATCAGCTGTATATATGTTCTGTATTTTATCACTTATGTCGCATGGATTTATACTATCGTCTTGATATTATGTCTGTACTATTATAATGCGAAAGAAACAGAATGTTTCGAAAAAAAAACGAATTTTATGACATAGAAAGAATAGTTTTGTATGTTCACAACGTCTTATATTCTAAATGAATAAGAAGAATGTTTTTGATGATGAAAGCGATAGTGAAGATGAGGGAAAAGTTATGCTGAATCTGCCTGANTCGGTCATTCTTTTCTGTTCTCTCCCAACATAGTCAAAATATACTGAAATAGGTTAAAATTGATGCCCAATCCAACAGACATACTTCGGAGATCTTTAGAGGTTTTCTGGAAGGTTTTCAAAAGGTTTCTAGGAGGTCTTTGAGCCAAGAGCGAGTAGTATTAGGAAGACTCTGGAAATGTTTATTGGCTTATAGAGATGGTCAGTCGTATGCGGAAGTAATGAACATGTGCTTTAGAACTAAATGTGAAGGAACAGTTAAAAGTCATACATGTATTAGTAACAGTAACTTAAGCGTTTAGTTTGCGATTTTAAAATGATGACTTTTCCTATTATTTTCATCTGTGATTTTCATTGTGACTATGTTAGAATAAATATACCATGTATACACTTTAACGAACAGAGAATATTTTGTTTTCACTTCAGTTGCATCTATGCAATCCAAAGCCCAATAAACTACTCGCTCTTGGCTCAAAAACCTTCCAGAAACCTTTTGAAAACCTTCTAGAAATCCTCCGAAGATCTCGAGAGTATGTCTGTTGGATTGGGCATCGATTTTAACCTATTTCAGTATATTTTGACTATGTTGGGAGAGAACAGAAAAGAATAACCGAAAATCACCTGGCCGATTTTGAGGTGTCCTCAGTAAAATTGATTTTTCTCAGCGATGAAAAGGAATTTTTGAGAAAACTCTTCGTAACTTTGAAGCTACGCATCTGACCAATCTAATCATGTAAAAATATTGCCTCTAATATTTCTAAAAAAACTCGTGATAGACTTGCAAAATTAAGTTCTTGTTTTTGAGCATAGGTCTTAGGAAATTATTTTGTGAACTAAAGCTTTGTTCTAAAAATGGTTTGAAATCAGTTTCTTATTCAGTTTTCTATGATCTATTAGAAAAACTAAGTTAGAAGGTTCCATCTCGTAACATATTTACAAAAAAGAGCAATCTATGAAAAGGTGCCAAATTATCTGTTTTTCACACCTTCCGAGTTTTTTCAATTTTTCGACCGGAAAAAAGTTTAAGAAAACGCAAGGCACACATATTTTTGGCCGCCTTGAAATTCTCTATCGAATGGTGTATGAAAATAAAATTAAAAAAATTTCACTTTAACTTTGATTTCCGTGCATCTTACATATCTGTCTGTTTCTTTGAAATGAAGAAAAGAATAGATATTTGTAAAAGTCGAATTCTTTTATCTGTGAATAATTATATATTGTGCTTACCTTTCACATTCTTCCTCTTCTTTTTTTTCGTTAACATTCGTAGGTGATTGTTCATTTTTTGGACATACAGTATTCTGCTGCCAGAATAAACTTTTTACGAATGACTGTAATAGCGAAATAAAAAATAATATAAAAGAATTTTTTTCTCTATCAGTAAACAAATAACTTTACCGAAGTATTAAGCTCATTTTGACTGTTATCAGTCTAGAATACCAAGAAAAAGGAGCTAATATGCTATTGAATTCGAAAAAAAAATTAACGAGCAAACAAACCGATGAACAACGTAAATCAATGGTGATATCATTAAAATCGCTTGAGACATTATGACGAAATGGATGCTGTCTAACACGAATAAGTCTAGGATCAACGAAGATTTCTGGTGACTCCATCTTCTATTGTACGTCTCGTCAATAAAAAATAACAATAATGAAAATGCTTCTCTTTTTTATTCGATTATTGATCTCAAATACAAAGGTTTCTTTTCGTCTAATAAATCTTCTTTGAGCTGAAGTATATAATTCAATGACTTTATTGTCTTCATCTGTTCGCAAGAACAATACAAATAATCCGAAAATAATGAAATCTTTCCTGATTTTCATCATAACCAATCATCTTTAGTTTTTGCAGTCTTTGGATTACTTTTATTGCTTGTTCTTTTTTCTTCTTCTTTGATTTCTTATGACAATCGGCAATAGATGAAATTTAAACAGAAGATATATAATACACTTGCTTGTTATATGTTTTTCAACTAACTATTTAAAAAATTTCTATATCAATTATTTTTTGTATTTAACCAATATGAAGCTTATGTGATAATAATTTATACCAGATACTTCCATATCGATTGATTTTCTACTTGCTGTGTTTATTCATGATATTCTTTCATAAACAAAAACAAATCTTCAATTGATCAACAGTATTATTTTTGATAATACAGATATAGGCTTTTCTTTTGTTTTTGAAAAAAAATTTTTTTACGTCTTTTTGTTTCAAAGAATGCTTTCCCATCTTGTAAGCAATATATATATATACAGGGGTTGTCAAAATTATAGACCCCCCCTCCCCCATTTTTCGTTTTTCTTTTATATCGTCCATTATTATTCGATCTGAATTCTTTCGCGCTTATCTCTATTCGTTGGTAGTTACTCTGTTTGTTGACAATCAATTAATATATATTTCGTACAGAAATAATGGGAAGAAAGTCAGTCAATATTGATGTCAAGAAGGACATTATCCTTTTGTGTGATATGGAAATTTTCCAACATGAAATATCCCGTCGATTGAAAATTTCTCGTCGCTGTATTCGTCAAACTATTCGTAAATTTGATCAATTTCATACGGTCGTCACAAAATCTGGTGCTGGACGTCCACGGAAAGTAACAGATCGTGAAAAAAGATTGATCAAACTCCAACAACTACGAGACGATACGTGTTCATTGGTCGATCTCGTACGATATGCTTACACGGATTTGAATGTATCCATTAGTCGTTCAACAATTAGCCGTATCCTTCGAGATTATAACATGGTATCGTATATTGCACCAAGGAAACCTCGAATAACTCCAATACAAAAACGTAATCGCTTTCAGCGATGTTATGAACATTTGAATTGGTCGGTAAAATGTTGGTCAAACGTTATTTTCTCTGATAGAAATAACTTTGAAGTACTTAGTCAAAAGAATCGAATCTATATTCATCGATTTCGGAACGATCGCAAAAGCGAGTTCACAAAGGCGGCGGGATATATCCATGTATCACATACATTCATCTATCTAACGAACATATATCCTAAACAAATGGATGTCTTTTGGAAATACAAGACAAATTTTCTTTGATGAGATAAATATAGGGTGTTCTATAATTTTGACAATCCCTGCATATGTTATTTTCCATTTGGAAATTAACTGAACGCTTTATAAACTCTTTTTAAAATTGTATCATTGAGAACGAAAAAAAATCAATGATGTATAGATAGATTTTTGTGGAATATAAGACATTTTTATTATCTTCTATTAGACAAGAAGTAATGTTAATTATTTTTTTGAATGGATCTCATAATCTTCTGACAGTTCATATTAAAGCTCCAAGTTTATTTAACATTGTCATGAAATATGTTGCCAATCAAAACAAAACATTCTACATTTGGCAGAATAATTTCATTGTAAAAATCAATTTCATACTTGACTATTATAAGTATTCAGGCAACAAAAGAAAAACAAATGATCTTTCTCTGATGTCAAAGTACATCATAAAAAAGAAAATTTCTCAACAAATTGAGTATGAGACACATAAACTATTGGGTTTCAATCTTCATCTAACAAGTACTTCTGAGGATTTTCTGATAAGATTTTCAATTTGTTTTTATGCTAGATTTTGTCTGAATATCAGATGGGAAAAGCTCAATGAATTAGAAGTAATAAATCAGATATAGAAAATAAACTAAGCACAGTACATCATTCAAAACAATAATTCTATTAAACGTCTTATTTTTAATATAGATTTTGAACTTGAAGTGAGCTGCTAAGACTTATAAATAGTGAATCATTTGGTAAATTTATGGAATTACACTGTTGTGATTATGTTATGTAAGAAATGTTTTCTATTGTCGATTTTAAAATTTTGATATGAAATTTTTAATTAAATCTGTATAATTGTAAAAGACATCAAAATACAAGAAAAAAAACCTTATTTATTGTCATGGGCTCGAGAACTCATATTTTTTGTCATTTATTTACGATTATTTTATAAAAATCGATTTTGATCGAATTAAAGAAAATGTTCTATTGAATAGAAAAAAAAATGACTTAAAAGAAGTTGGATTGAATATTATTACACATGATACTCATTAAAAATTAGCATTGTTTCAAACCATTGGCAGAATTTACCGTTCATTGATTACATAAAAAATATATTCTAATGAGCATTTACTTTCCGTTGATTATTCAGAAGAAAAATAAATGAATAAATGAGTAGTATGGGTGTGAATATGTCCTGCTTGTTTCGATTATTTCAAGTACGTTTATAGATGAACAAAGATGTTAGGAAATCCTTAAAGCATACGAATAAAAAAAATATCTTTCAATGATGTAATAAATGCAGGAATGTGAAAACAAACAGAAAATTAAATTATTAGTTTAATATTAAAACTAAAATATTGTTGATTTTAGTTCTAATAATTCATGAAACATTTGAAAATAAATGTGACTGACATATCAGTTAATGTTTCGATTCATAGAGGTACAATAAGAATATGCGTACTAAAGTACAGAAATGAATTTATTGCAATCAAGACAAAGTAGTTTTAATATTTTCATGTATGCTTTTAACAACATTAAACTTCAGGTTTCGTTTATAAATAAAAACATTGATGCCAATTTTTACATAAATATAATTTAAGTTCTTACAAAATCAAAAACATTATATGTATTTCTCCATTCTATTCATGTATCTTCGCTCACGAGCAACTGTAACCCACTGTTTGAGGTCATGTC